CGCCTTCAAGTTCGAAACACTTTACTACTTTTCTTTAAAACGAATTGCTCCCTCGCGCTCGCTCACTTTTATAAAACCCCCAAAAAAATCAAGTGGCGTCAGATCTGGAGATCGCGCTCGCCAGTTGATCGACCAGCTGTTTGTTTGTGCCTTTTGATCAGGGCGCTTGATTGGATTAGAAAATAAATAAACTAGTTAGATCTAAAACTTTTTTGAGGGCACCCTGTATAGTTGCAACAAAATTTTAAAAGCTACGTTTTTAAAAATTGCTTAATTAGAAATACTTCCATTTGGTACATTTCCTGAAACACCCTGTATAAAACTGCAAAATAATAAAATACTTTTGCTCAAAGATTTTTTTTTATTGACTGACTTGTTTTTATACATGAATTTATAATTCATGTATAAAAACAATAAAATTCAATTTTCTATTTATTATCATTCATTGTCTATTTTAGTAGTACTGGGATCTACAATCTTTCATAGTTAAATGCACTCAAATGGTCGCTGACCTGTCAATTGCGACTTTTTTGACGTGTGGTTCCACATCTAACCTTGATTTGTACTAAATTTTCGAACATGTTTATAGTTGTTAAGTGGCTGGAACCCGACGTGGTTCAGGGCCACAGGAATTTTGACTCAAAACCGCCGGTTCTCGGTAGTAAACGACCTTTGGGGGGCACCCATCAAGTCAAGTCATCGGACCGAAAAGAGGCCTACGTGTGAACGTACCCAGAAAGAACCCATCGGTATTTCGGCTTCTGGCCGGTTTAATCTGGCGACTAAACCAGAGCTTCACAGTTAGATTGTTCCGGAAACCTCAACAGTGTTGGTGGTATGATGGACAATTTGCATAAAGAGCTGACAAGAGCAGAGACTTGTCCCAAATCGAAAGCAACTTTGGCATCTAGTTTTCTGCGTTTATTGTCATATTGCCAAGAAACGCAGGAAAAATGACAACGCCATTGTCGGCGTTGTTAATAGGCGAGGTCATTTACGCCGAAATCGGCTTAGTTGGTTGAACCTGCCCGACTGCTGGACAAAAAAACAAGCGCCCTGCTGCCTAGACCATTGAACCGGGCTTCGTGAGTCTTCAGCGAGTGGTGGCTGGCGGAGGGACAGGCCTGCACGTTTTCGGGGCCCTGCTGGGGAAAGTGGAAGCAAACAAGAAACTGATACCCACTCGAATAGAATTGACGTGTTGCCAACCGCAAGCCAGGAACTAAAATAAAACCGGGTTTAAGTCGGACATCACGTTTGTGGGTGACAAAACGTTTCCATTCCAATCGTCTGACCGGATTCAGTCTTTTCGCTTTCAATCAAAAACCCATAAAATCGGGGCGCAAAGCAAATATTTTTCATTACTGTCTATTTAAATACTCCTTCACTTGCCAGATTGTAAAGCTTTACCAAGGTTTTTGCACAGCTGGTATTCGAACATTAAGCAACGAAAAACGTGACTTGGTGGCTCCAGAGGTGGTTTGCGTCGTCAAAATGATTTTCTACGAAAGCCTAAAAGACCGAAAAACTCGAAAATTTCAAGAAATATATCTTCACTCTTTTGATTCCATATTTACAAGGTTTTTCACTTGGACACCGTGTTTACTGCGGGTTGTAATAACAAATTAACTTCGTCTTTCGAAAACTCATGTTCAAAGTTTCCGGACTAGCCCGTGATTGCTACTATGGAGCCTACAATACGATACCTACAAGCGCTAAAGCGACGGTTATGCACAATTTTTTTCGAGTCGAAAGCAAGAAGGGCGATATGAGGTTATCAAAGTGGGTAAAAGTTGTGCAAATAAAACAATATGACGCTTTAAAACATTAAGGACTTTAATAGCGGAACGTTTCTCAATCAAAATTGTCAGCGGTTTAGTCGTTTTTTGAGCGAGCGGATATACAGGGTGATTCAAAATTGGCGTCATTCCTTTCTAGGGGTGATATAGGCTCCCTTGGGGAGTACGAGAAAAATATAGAACATTTTTTTTCGAAAATTTCTAGAAGAAATTAACAGTTGAAGATCAAATTTCAACTTTGTTATTAAGCATTATTTTGAAATGGTTTCATGTTTAATTGGTAGCATATTGGAATACTTAAGCATTCAAAAAGAAAAATGACGATCTTTGTTTCAAATTACGAAAATTTTTGATATCAAAAAA